TTTGAACGTGTAGTTAAATAAACGGTTTAAAGACTCACTCAAAGACAGTCCCTTTCCACCACCTTATTGCGCAACAATGTAACTGCACTGACTGACAGCCCGTCTAGACTGCACAGGTGGAAATATCAATAGAAAGTCTCTTGTCCAGTCGGATTCGAGGATCAGAAAGAACTGTTATACATATAGGCTAACAATAGCCTAACAATCTTATTGTCAGGTTTATGTTCTGTTATGTGGATCGTTATTTTGTCATTCTCTTTTGTTACTTCACTTCCTGTTTCAACGCTATTTGGTTTCGGTTTCTGAATATGACCTCGTTATATCGTAACACATACACACACAGATTATATATATATATGGCGAATATGGCGATATATGGCGATAATACCGCATACCGCGCTATTGAGCCACTCAAAATTACCGCAAGGGAAATTCCTTCACCGCGGCCAGCTTTAGTATATGTTTTTGGAGAATTGCTCATTTTCAAAGTAGATTTCTTTAGTCTGGCAGGATTTTATGCTTTATTTGAAGTGACAAACAGTTCATTTATTCATAAACAAATGATTTATAATATAATTCTTTACTTCTTTTTTTATTTTTCCTGTTTAGTTAAAGTTATTAAAAGCGCATCTTTCCTAATTGAAACATTTTTTAGATAATTTACTTCTTTTTAAAGGTCCTTCAGATGTTGCTTTCAAAAAATGACCAAATTAAGTCCTCTCAGAAGACAGGATAATACATACATTTTGAATGTCTTAATGTCTTCCTACCACTGAGCGACATTTTTCAGCATTTGGACAAAGCCAATGACAGAGATGAAAATGAAGTGTTCGGATTGGATGAAAAAGAACAGGTGGGAGGGACTTACCACCACTGAGCAGCTTCATGACCAACCACAGCTCATCCTTCACCACGAACGAGGTGTAATACGACACAATGTTGGGATGGTGACACTGACTCATCGCCTGAATCTCTTTCTAGAGAGAGAGAAAAAAAGAGAGACAATCACTCTTCATTGACAGTAACCCGATTTAACCAATATCCTTTCTAAATGATTCAGAGTGTGCAATAATTGGACAACAATAATTAGCTTCCTTCAGGGGAATACAAAACTGCATTACACTCAGGAATCAGCAAATGGTCGGTGTATACAGTCATATAGGATGTAGTCCAGAATGCACTGGGCCTCATGGCTAACCGAAATAACTGTGGTGCCTCACAATGGTGCCATTCCAGATCTGGATTAATGTTTAAACAAGTCTGGCTCAGTTGCACAGTTGGCAAACCTTCACGATCCGTGCAGATATTTACGTACTTCAGGTGAAATAGTCGTTTTTATTAGCTCATTCACCGCAAAGCACGTACAAACTGTAAAAATAAACAACATCCATCCAAGCATGCTGTAAACACTATGACACCTTCACCTGACTGCCTTACAGCCTGTTCCAAATAACCAAGGAATCCAAATAAACAGGTGTATATGTTACAGTCAATATCCATCCGAGAAACGCCACCACTAGATAGATTTTTCGGCATTTGAAAACAGAAGGAAAAACAAGCCGTTTTCCTCTCCACCCCGTTTATTTGTTGGTCTTTCCAGTTGACGGAGCAATTGAAGTGAAACCCTTGCAGCTCGGAGAGACTGACAGCTGAGGTAATGTTGGGACTGCAGCCGAATCCATCACTCTGAGCTTTCCCCGACTCATTTGATGGTGGGGGCTTCCTAATGATATTACAAAGCAATTCTGCCATTTCTATTTTTGCTGTCAGGCCCAGGCTTGTTCAGTTTGTTACATGCAATGCAAAGCAATCAATAATAGAAACTAAAGACACTGCAGGATTAATCTGAATGAATGGACACATGACTTCATACCTTCACACCGTTTTGTGCTGTTTGGTTAAAATGAAAATGAATGGGGACCAGAGCCTTCAAGCTTCAAATGGGATGCAAAAGCACCATAACATTTATTGCAGTTATAATAATAATAATAAAAAATAAATAAATTTAAAAAAAGCTTTAGAAAGTATGCAAGAGCACTATAAAAGTGCCCATTCATTGCAGTCACATGGAAAAGAGTGACTCGTGAAATGTATTTTCATAGATTTTTTAATATATTAAAACAAAACAAAATACAATAGCTTCAAAAAAGATGCAAAGGCAAAATAAAATTATACATTCAATGCCGTTATATGGAAAACATGGCTTTTTCTTTAAATAAAACTAATTTTTGATTTTTATTATTTTATATAAAAAATATAATTAAATTAAAACAAACATAGCCTCAATAAAGATCATAAAAGGGCCCTTTCATTGCAGTTACATGAAAAAAATGGCTTTTTAAAATTTATTTAAAGTAGTACTTTATTTCATTTTATTTTTTGTTTTATTATTTTATATCTGCAAAACAAAACAGCTTGGAAAAGGATGAAAAAGCACCATAAAAGTGCCTATTCATGTGAGCTACATAAAAACAAAGAGTGTTTTGTTTAATAAAATAATTATATTTAATTTTATTCGTTAAAATAAAATACAACAAAAAAAATAATTTCTTGAATTTAAATGTTTAAGCATCTTTAAGTCATGTGTACACGCTTCAAAGTGTGTTGCTAATGTTTAAAAGCCAAACCCAAGTCTTTTGCAATCACTACTCAATAGTCCAGTACTACAGGAATGACAGAAATGGCAGAGACCCAAGTATGAAATCAGCATGCCTCAACTCAACCTGTTTTAAAGCCTGCATTTACACTGCACACAATTTACACATACACTTCCCTTCTAAATTAACTAAGGTTTGAATATAAGCATATGCTGCTTTGTATCCATGCAAGTATGGTAATGAAATGAACCAAAAAAATGCAGCCATGTTGTAATTAAGTGCACCACTCTGCTTCAAATGAATGGGACGGGTTGCAGCAGTCTCCTCCAATATTTAGATAAAAAGTCAATAAGAAAACATGCCATTTCAAGTTCCTGAAAAACAACTCATGGCAATTGCACTTTCCAAGTAGAGTCCTCAAATGACCCTGTGAACATGAGCCATGTTTTCCACTGACCCAAAAAAATAAACGTACAAGCGCAATCATGCCAGTCAACATAAAGCTCTTCCCGTGCCAAAACCATGGGGTCACTGACACGCCAACAGTAGGCCACTGGGTATGTCCCACCCCTCTGTCCCAAAGCTGGACTTAATTCAATAATTCAGTCAGCTTTGGCTGGCTCCACAAAGCCTGTGTCCAGTTCCACGATGGACACCAGGTTGAGGGCGTATGAAAACAATAACACACGGGGCGGGCTTTGGACGTTCACTAGCTAGCGCTCCATCTGCGTTCTCACAGTAGAAGCCGAGAGTCACCTCAGCTTGGCTGGCTGATGTCTACCCGAGAGACAAATACAATAGCCTAAACAGGGAGGGTGACATCAAGAGACTGTTTGCCACCCGATTCGTGTATGTCCAGAGGACAATGAGCAAAGAAAAGCACTGAGACTCTTTGTCTGTGGTTATGTCACTGCCTTTCTGCCTCCATAACCAGTGTAGGGATGTAACGGTATGAAAATTTCTTATCACGATTATAGTGACCAAAAATTATCACGGTTATCAGTATTATCATGGTATTGTTAAAATGTGCTGGAGATGTTAAAAAAGTACCGACACATAAATCACTTCACCAAGTTTTATATTTAAAAATCAACAAACAACAAATAAAATGACTTTGTTTGCATAATCACTAAAACAATAACATTACCAATGATGTTCGGATTTTAAATGACAACTTGACTGACAACAGTTTAATAGCATGTTGAAATATCTAATGTAAATGTTCAAATAAAGCTTTGAAAAAGTTTCATAAAAACAAACCTCACATTTCAGCCTTTAAATAAAGAAAAGATATAAGTCAAAATGATAATTGATTAATAAATGATTATATGTATTTTATCTGCTCCATAAATAATTCTAGATAACTTATCTGAATTGTTTAAATGTGTAGAATCCACATAAACTTGTTTTTCATCAACCGGTCAAAATTTACAGCAGGGCATGCAAATTAGGTCCGTTTTTGGCCAGACAGAAACTGCACACAGGCTGAATATAAATATAAGTCTCTGTAAATCCACTCGCTGACAGCAGGTGGCGCTTATGGAAACGCTGAATTAGAGCGGTTTCCCGTAACCTCCGTGGACAAAGCAGTATTGCGATTAAGAACACTTCCTTTAGGTATTACATGGAGCGAAGATGAAAACAAAATGCCATCGATTCTTTTCTGAAGACGGTCAGAACGATCAGAGGTACATTCATATAATTAATTCATTCATATATTCATTTGTATAATTCCCTTAGCACGCTTTTAAAACCTCCCAGCTTTTCCGCCCTGTTTTCACTCAAAACGAAACTACTCTACGTGCTGTGCGCATGTGAGACTAACTGGAAACTGCTTTATGCTGGACAGTATTTATTTGTCGCGAGTTGTTCAAATCGCAGTAATCTAATACGGTTTTAATTAGTGCTGGGTGGTATGACCAAAAATTGATATCACGGTATTTTTCAAGATGATACCGGTTTAACGGTACATGACGGTATTTTTTTTTCATGCATGACCGGGTGTTAACCATATTTTCTACTGATTGAGAGAGGAAATACTGCAGTATATTGACTTAGAATGCCCTATTTTACTGTCATGATGAGTGAATATTGTCAAAAAATACCACACTAAATAGTGACCAAACACGACCCCTTTTAATACATGTTAACCAGGAGTCGCTCTCATTTATAAATCGCGGCATCGTCTGATAAAATCAACATGCATCTACACTAAAGAGCGGCTATGCGGTTGTTTTGGCTATATTACTTTTTTGTCTCATGCAGCGCACTGCCTGCGTCTGAGTAACAAACTAAAAAAAAACAACAAACTAACAAGTGCATGTAATATTAACAGACGAACTATGCTCATATTTATATAAACAATCAGTGAGCGACAGGTGCTAAGAAACGCTGTTTTGTACTAATTTATTGACGAGTCGGCTGCGGTGCACTGCTTCTCTGCCGCTCACTGCACAGAACAGACGCCGAGAGAGGTGACACTTCTCCGGGAAAGTCAGACCTCGCGTTCGTGGGACAGCACAGGCGAAATCTTCCAACTGAACCATAGCTAAGGTTTATCCAAAAAAGTCGCTAGGTTTGTCAGTATGAATATTCTATGGAAAAAAGCCGCTAAAAGGGTCTGGATGAGTTCTTCTGTGTCATCACGTTCGATTAGTTCAGCGGTGGCGAATTCCGGTCCTGGAGAGCCGCAGCCCTGCAGAGTACAGCTCCAACCCTAATTAAAACTCACCTGCCTGTAGCTTCCTAGTAACCGTTCAGACCTTGATTAGCTTGTTCAGGTGCGTTTGATTAGGGTTGAAGCAAAACTCTGCAGGGCTGCGGCTCTCCAGGACCGTAGTTCGCCACCACTGTATTATTTCTACAGCTTCGGTTTCGGAACTTTCACGCTTAGTAACACATACAGCGGTTCCCTCACCACAGTGCAACAGTGAAAAGGGACCCCTTTCAAACAGTGTCGCGTTCAGAACGTTGTTTAAGTGACATACACCGGTATTGCGGTATTTTAAAAATTCATATCATAACAAAAATAAACACCGGTATTCGGTATGAACCGGTATACCGCCCAGCACTAGTTTTAATGATAATTAAAAGATGAAACGGTAATACTAACTGTGGGGAATTTTATCATGATTTATCGTCAAACCGGTAATCGTTCCATCCCTAACCCACTGGAAAAAACGCTTTCCTTCTTCCTCAGGGCAAATTTCTCACTCAATATATGAGGTTCTCCAGTAAACATTTCCATTTGAATTAAAATTACGTTAAAGCCTGGGGTAAACCTTTGTGAATTTGGTTATTCAGGCAAATTCTGCATTAAAACTATCCACTGACAAGTACTTCAAATCTAAATTATGGCAATGACAGGGAAAAACATCTAGGATGATGACCTGCTATCATCATTTGGTCTCTTCAGCGTTCAGATTTACAGAAGAATACAGAAGAGACACCTTTGATTCAACAATCACTTTGGCCCACTGATATTCTCACATTGCCCTGATCCCTCATGACCTAAACACACACAGTTATGCCAACAGAAAAAAACAAGCTCTTTTCCCATTAGCTTGAAAATCAGATTAAAACAGGTCCGCAGGATATTTAGCTGATTCACTATCAGAAAAGCACAATCAATTTTAAGAACATTTCCTTTGAGATCGGTAAAAGGAAAATTGCTCTCCTGCAGAAATATATCAGAAACATAAGCTTATTTAAATCACACAAAGTAAATTTCAGCTACCTTAAAAAATGGCTGCATGTTTTGACTAAAAAAAAACAATAGCTATTTTAACAAGTATTACAATAGCAGTTTGATCTTTGATGTGATAATTAATTTATGATTATTTGATCATTTAACATCTTGTACTGCTGATAGTATAGTAATACAATATGTAATGTACAGTTGCAAAAATATAATAATAATGATAACTGTGATTTATTATAATAATAATAAGAAGAAGAATATTCAAATCATTATTCAACAGCAATTTTTTATATTTGAACAAGTGGTCCAGTTGCAGAAAACTGAAGGAAGACCTCTGACCACATTACAGTTTCAAAAAGTGATGCACCAAAAATAATTTCTTTACCGTAAAATTTCTTTCATTTTGCCAAAAACCAATACTGAAACAGAAAATAACGTTTATTTCATAATCAAATAACTAATCAAATTTATTTAATAATCAACACTGAAATTAAAATTTGTATATAAACAGTTAAATTGTTCATATCAATGTTTTAACTATAAGTGTTTCTCAACAATTCATTGTTGAAATAAACAGTAAATAAATTAAACAAATTTAATACAAACTTGTTATTTATTATTACTTATTAAACATACAGTACACATGTAAAAAGTATTATGAATATGTACTAGTAAAAATATAAAGAATATGTACTATATAGCAAAATGCTTTTTTTTTTTTCGAGCTGACTAGCTGGCATTTATGGGCATTTAATGGCTTTACTGGGATAAATGTAACGTTATGTTCAAGTGGTTTTATTAAGCTCAGACTTTGTTTCATATCAAAAGTAACATTATTATAATTATTGGATGGGATGAGTGCTACAAACAATGCTAAGCAAAGTTTTGTTCACTCATCAACTGAAAACAGTATAGACTAATTCCGGTTTATCAAAAAGAAGATGTACGGAATGAAGCCATGTAGGCAGCTAATCTATCTAGGAGAAATGAAGCACTGTCATCTGACGGAATTAGCAGTCACTGAAGTCATGTGATTCGAGAAGGCCTTGAGGAGCTCTTGTCACGTCCCCGTGGAATAAGCGCTGCAGTGGTGCACAGTGGGGTCACTATAGATTCAGCTTGACGTCAGTGGCACTGACAGGATCGCAGCTCAGTCAGAGAGCAAAATTATTCCTCCCACCACAACAGAGTCACACGGCTGCTGCGTTGTGACTTGTTTGGACTGTCCTGTTCTTTTTTTCACAGCTATCTGGGCTGCTCCTGCATGTTGGGAAGAACTAGAGCATGCTATACTCCAGCAAATTGGCCTGATCAGCAGTGAAATTGACTTAAACCTCTGGAAGGAATTTCCTTAGAGTGCAGCCCTTGATGCAGATTGTATGCAATATAGCTGCCTGCTACTCCCACTCATTACGGGAGCAATCTGGCTTTAATTTAATGCCTCCTCTGTGTTTAAGAGAGTGCTCAGCAGGTCATAAAGGCAGCGAAACATCGGAGGAAACCTGAACTACACATTTTCCATGTGACCCTAACTCTACAAGAATCTCCCTTTAACTTTCACCTAAGTCATTTCCAAGGGTTTACTTCAGTTCAGCTGGAAGAAAGTCTCCATTTACTGAAATCACTGAGGGCAGGACTAGGGATAATATCAGCCACGACTTTGTAAGACACCTGGATGTGGGAAAAAATTGAGTTTCTGGTAGCCTCCTGCAGTGAGCTTGTAAATCGGGAATATGAGCTTTCCCAGTGAACGACAAAATGTGCTCCGCCTGGTCACGAGGAACAAAAGTATGACCTTTTGAGCTCCTTGAGGAGTTGACAGATGACGTTAATAAGCTAAGAAGGGGAAAGGATTTGTGGAGAAACCCAAGGACTCATGAATGGAAACTATAACTTGGCTGTAACTTGACAAGAATGTAACAAAAAGGCAAACTGGGAAACTTTCAAACAGAAATTGGTGTTTTACACTTGGAAGAGAGGCAAAAAAGTTCTTTAATGACTGGGATGAAGTCTTCTATTAGTCAGTGTTGTGATTCACAAAGAAGTCCAAGGGGGAATTCTGACTAGGAAATAAAAACTCTGCCATAAAACTGGAAAACAACACAGGGAATCCCTTTGGTCCAGTTAATAATGGTTTCCAGGCAATCTGGAAATGGTACAATCCGTTTGTCAACTCCTTTTATTGTATGAAACAGTTCTGATTCTCATTTACTGAGAGTGTGAACGCACACATTTACACAACCAAAAAAGCTTGTGGTTGGTAGGCGTTTTTTTTTTTTGGGGGGGGTGTAGTTTAAATGTAGCCTTGGTTAAAAAAAAATTGTACCAACCTCAAACGGTAGTATACTTACAAATGTACTTTTTTTTCAAATTTTAAGATAAAAATGTATATTCGTGCTAATATATATGCAGACTTCAGATGCAAAAATCTCTAAGTCTGTCTGAGTTGCTTCTTTTAAATTAGCATTTTTATCAGACTCCTAGGTTTAGGTTCAGTAATTTCACTTTAATGGCAAAAAAAAGGCTATTAGTTAGTTATTCAA